AGACAAACGGCCAAACTGAGCAAATGAACAAGATTTTGCAGCAGACACTGCGTATGTACATTCGTCCCGATCAGATTGACTGGGACGAGCATTTGCCCAAAGTTGCTAGTGCCTATAACAACTCTGTTCACCTATCTACATGCAAGACTCTGATGGAGTTGCATCTGGGATGGCGTCCGCACGGACCTATTGATCGTCTGAACCCGGATCAAGTGCATAAGCTTCCACTAGGAACAAGTGACTTTACTATACAATATCAGAAAGATATAGAGAAGGTAAAGGAAAATATAATGACGGCACAACATCAGATGATAGAACAAGCAAATAAGCACAAAAGACCTTCTCAGTTTGTTGTAGGTGATCTGGTATGGGTTAAGTCTAAAGAGTTTGTTCCTGAGGAGAACATCTCCCAAAAGTTATTACCAGCCTACAGAGGACCGTGGCAAGTTTTGGATGTGATAGGAGATGTGGATGAACCCTCTTATGTTATTGAGAATCCTCTACATTTGCATATGTATCCAGTATTTCACGCATCAAAGCCTCTACCTTGCGTGACTAATGAACTATTTCCAAGTCGTCGATCAACGATTCCTCCAAGTATGGATGGGAGTTATGACGTGGACAAGATTATTGCTGAGAGCACTGTTCAAACTGGACGTAGAGGCAGACCCCATCGACAGTATAAAGTACGATTTGCCTATCAGGACCCAAGTGAAGATCGCTGGTTTACAAGGGAAGAATTGATTGATTCTGCACCTCATATTGTATCTGCCTATGAACAAGCAAGAAGGGGAATAAACATTATTGATAGATGAAGGATTTCTCAGAGGACTTCGAAACTAGGCCGGCGAGAGTAAAAGGGCCTTTACCCGATTCAGACCCTGTTTGACGAATGCAGCATAGTGGGGTCACTCGCCCACGGCCCAACTCGTGAAATCAGATCAAAGGACATGTTCTCTGGGTCAAAAGTCACATCCTAGCTAAGTAAAAGTCAATGTCAAAGGTCACAGTTGTGCCCCTGAACGAACAGTTGCAATATTCAGGTATGGGAGTCACGTCTGTTCATCCAGGGGTGTGCAAGTCATGTCTGTTCATGCAGGAGATGTGTCTGTACATGCAGTATGTGTGTCTGTTCGTACAAAATGTGTGTCTGTTCAGGCAGTAGGTGTGCCTCTTCAAACARAAGTCAAAAGGTTAAGTCCCAGTCACCAATTGAGTCAGAGGGAGAGTCTAGATACAGGCCCCAAGTCCGAAATTCAGGCCYGAGGGCCACAGCAGCAGCAGACCTTGAGGGAAAGGTACTGGGACGCACTCTACACAGCCTGGGACAGGGAAAAGAGTCCCAAGGGAGGCTGATTCAGGCCACGCAAGGCCATGCCATTAGTATAAAGGAGCAGACCAGCCTCCCACATGACGGATCTCCAGGAGCATGAATGCGTGGAAGTGCTGAAGGCACTTGTGCGCTAGCATGCAGAGGGAGAG